ACACACACGCACACACACACAGACTACTGCCAATGGGATCCTGTCGAACTCTATTCAGACGGCACCCCTCCTCTGCTCAGAAACGTGTGCTTCGTGACTCCATCTCAAAGTAAAAGCCGTTCTCACCGTGGCTCACTGGGTGATGTGTTCCCTGGGGCTCTGTCTGATCTCATCTCCCTTTCCTCTCCCTGTCACTCCTCTCCGGTGGCACTGGCCTCCTGGGTGTTCCTCAATTCTATACACACTCCTTATGCGTGGTCCTGCCTCAGGGCCTTTGCATTTGCCGTGTCTTCCATCAGGAACTCTTTTCCCCCATATTCTGCATGGCTGTCTGCCTCTCCTATTGCCAGCTCTCCTCCAATGTCATCTGCTCTGGAAGGCCTGTCCTGACCATTCTATATAAACTGATCCCCCTCATCACTCTCTCCCCTGACCTTGCTTTGTTTTTCCTCGAAGCGCTGGAAGTATTTATGTGCTTATCTATTTATCATCTTGTCTCCTCACTAGAATATAGGTCCCGAGAGGGCAAGGATCTTTGTTTTGTTCAGTGCTGGATCGTCAGGGCCAGGCACACAGTAGGCACGCAGTGAGTTTCTGTTGAGTCAATAGTAACAAATCCTTGTATTATATGAATGAGTTAATGCGTGCAAAGAGCTTACCGTGGACCAGACATCAGGGAAAGGCTGAATAAACAATGATTATTATGAGAGTTGTGATCTGTTGCCCTACAAACCCTTCTGATAGCATGCAGGACAGAAACAACGCAGCTAGAGAAAGTCTACCACAAGGGAAAGAAACCAGAGAAAGGGAAAGGTTGAGAGGTAAGAGATGGGGAACACAGACACAGGAGGAGAGAGATGGAGTTGGGTTGGGGGCAGAAACAGGTGCAAGCGTCTGTCTCCCACTGCATTTGCCCAGCAAGGCGAGCCCTCGTGGGCAAGAAGCTTTGACATTGCTGTGTTCACTGACTACTCTTTGCAGACAGAGAAACTGAATTCCAGGGAGGGAAGGACTTTTCCGAGGGCCCCGAACTGATAATACAGCTCACATGTCTAAGGCCTGATTGCGTGCTGGGAATGTGCCCACCATTATCTCAGTGCATCCTCATCCGGGTCCTGTGAGGTTGGCACTGTCATTACCCCACTGCACAGGCCAGCAACATGCCTGGGGTCCCCTGGCTGCTCCCGGTGGCAGATCTGGGCTTAGATTGCAGGAGATCAGACCCCTGAGTCTGTGCGGCTAACCAAGACAGAGCTGAGACCCCTGTTACTCCGACCGAAGTGTTCTCCATGAAAGCCTCCTGCAGTGAAGATAACGGGAGCTGGGGGCGCCCAGGCGGCTCAGGCGGTCAAGCATCCGACTTCGGCTCAAGTTGTGATCTCACAGTTTGCGAGTTCAAGCCCCGCATGGGACTCAGCACTGGCAGTGTGGGGCCTGCTTGGGAATCTCACTCTCTCCTCTCTCCCTGCCTCTCCCCCACTCATGCTTGTTCTCCCTCTCTCAAAATAAATGGATAAACTTAAAAATATATATATAACACGAGCTGCTATTTACTGAGTGCCAACTGTGTGCCAGACATTGCGCCCTTTGTGTGTATTAACTCATTGGATTCTCGCAACAATTCTGTGAAATGGATACTTTTAGTATCCTCATTGGACTGATAGAAAACTAAGGCTAAAGCCCATGAAATCCCATGTCCTTGAGGGCACCAGGGAAGAGTGTGTGAACTAGGACACAACAGAAACTCAAATAGGAAAGAAGGCTCTGGCACGCCCCCGTTCTAGCCACACTCTGCCTGGTAACTGGTGATGTCATCAGTGCCGGCTAGGGTTAAATCTACTTGGCAACTGGTGATGTCATCATTCCCACCGAGGGGGAAGCAGGAGACGTCATTGCTTCTGCTCAATCTATGGGGTAACTGATGACATCGAGGACGGGTGATATTGAGCTTCCTTTTGCTGAGGGTCTTCTATGAGACGGATGACTGTGCTAAGCACTTTCATCGTTGGGGTTAGATATGTAGCACTTACTGTTTGCCAGGCACGGTGCTACCCCCTTTATGAGTCTTGAACTCCAAGGGGTAGGTACTAGTGTCACGCCCATTTTACAGATGAGGACACTGAGAGAAAGCTGCCCAAGTTTGCACAGCTAGAAAGCATCAGAGCCCAGATTTGAACCCAGGCAGTCTGGCTCCAAAGCAGGGAATGTGGATCACTACATGAAACCACGAGAGAGTGACTGAGACCCGGGAAACCAGTTCAAAGCCCTCCATCTGTCCTCTATCCCAAGTCGGCTACCGAAGGTCCTCAGGATAAAGCCCCAAACTCATTCTCTTGGCGGTCAAGGCATCTCCACCATCCACCCATCTCTTCACCCCAGGCACGGGAATCGTCCCCATTAAGTTGTGAGCCCAAAG